GAGAGTGAGAGAAGGTCATGTTGAGGTTGCTATTGTGAAAACAAATGAAAACAAAAAAAACATAAGCAAGGCTAAGTAATAGTAAACATCATAAACAATAATGCTAGAAGGACGATGTTGCGATTCTCAGAACCAGAAGAAAATTTTAAAATCATATTAAGTAATTCTTGTAAGAGAGAGAGAGAGAGAGGAGGTTCTTTCTCACGTGAGGAGTCCCCGCCCTGGTCTACGGAAAGCAAGAAAGACAAAGAATGGAAAAAGTATTAAGATCATCGATCACAGTCATCGAGTCAGAGTCTGGTAACTAAAAATAAGTTGTTCTTAACGTAGTTACACCTCAGACAACATGATTGTGATGTAGATTACTGAGTACACATTCTAGACGTAAATGTAGTGTTCCCTCTTCCTCCAACCTATGCGATGTTCACTTCATCTTCGTTCTTTTTCTATATTATAATATAATTCGTGCTTACTTTGAATGTAGTAGTTGTAAACAGCAAATACAAGAACTACTGTAGTTCACCCCCCCCGGTCCCAGCCATTCTCGACAACAACAAGAGGTGCTGTCTTGGTCGTCATCGTCAGCAATGTCTTGGTCATCATATCATCTACCAGAAACCCGCCATCTTGGTGCGCATCCTATCGCACAAGTAACGACGCACTTGTCAAGATATCAAGACAAACTGGAGACTTGTAGGTTCAACAAACTTGCAAAGCTGTCGCCGACAAGAGAGACTACGCCAGTTTTTCCCTGACCGGGTTCTACCCGTAGTATCGGCAATCCAGCATCATAGGCAAGCACAGGCTCTTCAGCACCTCCAGAACAGGTACCTAAAGGTAGTGAAGTCAAACTAATTAGTAACTTCTGTTTAGATTTTGATTTTTTAAAGGGGTTCCCGCCTCAATTTAGATTTTTTAGAGGGGTTCCCGTCTCAATTTAGAATTTTCAGATGGGTTCCCGCCTCAAGTCAATTTAGATTTTTTAGAAGGGTTCCTGTCTCAAGACAATTTAGATTTTTTAGAGGGGTTCCCGCCTCAAGTAAATTTAGATTTTTTTGAGGGGTTTCCGTCTCAAGTCAATTTAGATTTTTTAGAGGGGTTCCCGCCTCAAGTCAATTTAGATTTTTTAGAGGGGTTCCCGTCTCAATTTAGATTTTTCAGATGGGTTCCCGCCTCAAGTCAATTTAGATTTTTTAGAAGGGTTCCTGTCTCAAGACAATTTAGATTTTTTAGAGGAGTTCCCGCCTCAAGTAAATTTAGATTTTTTTGAGGGGTTTCCGTCTCAAGTCAATTTAGATTTTTTAGAGGGGTTCCCGCCTCAAGTCAATTTAGATTTTTTAGAGGGGTTCCCGTCTCAATTTAGATTTTTCAGATGGGTTCCCGCCTCAAGTCAATTTAGATTTTTTAGAAGGGTTCCTGTCTCAAGTCAATTTAGATTTTTTAGAGGAGTTCCCGCCTCAA